TTCATTCTACTATGAATTCCGTCCGTGAAAGCCTTTGTTCTTATATTTCTTAGGAAAAATCAACGGCATCGATAATAGCAGAAATTTTCCTTAACTTAGATAATATCTAATTTGAGCATAACCAGTTGCATTCAGGAGGTTCGATTTAGGGAAGCTAGACTGTATAAATACACTATTAAAATCAAAACGACCATCCCGTATAATTTAAAGGAATTTAATACGAGATAGAACAGAAAAGCTGAGGGGGATTGCTTCTGTATTAAACCGTAATAGGCTAACTTTTTAAATTAGTAAGGATATTACCGTTTACGACCAGCGTAACGTATAGCATAACAAATCGCCATCGGCCATGATGTAAAAGCCCGCAAAATAAATGTTTTTGCAAAAGAGGAAGCACAGACAGATCTACTCAAAGGCTTTTTGAGCCCCGTGGGTACAAAAGGCCCCCAGTCTCCATTGAAACAATGGACGATATTATGTATAAAAGAAGAATACCCAAAATTAAAAAACATCCGATCATAAGGTTGGTAACCCTGCGATCAATCAACCCGTGTGCGCATCTATCGAAACCGGGGAATTCCCCGTCACTTATTTTCGGTCTGTGTATTTTCTGGCGTGTACGTCTATTACGGGGGAATTTCCGCTGCTTATCGTCCAACATATTTTTTTTTCTACAATTCTATTTTTGACAAACTGTGTTAAAATATTTTATTGTCCTATTTTTTTACTATACCCGACAAAATGGCAATTAATAGTTGAATAATTAAGTAAGCCCCCAAGCCCCCGGGGCCCCACAAATTCACTATCTGGCCCTGAGTGGAAGTAGTTTGCCTGTGCCAGATTTTTACACTTATAATTAAAAAAATATTCGAAGCTGTTATGAATAATGATAATGGTTTTTAAAATGAAAATTTAAAAAGACCTTTGATATGAAACCACACACTGGAAACGAGATTGTGAATATCCAGGATACTGTATATATATTCCTGTGCTCCTACCTACTCGTCTAATTTTAAATGGTCCAGAAGATGCACAAAGGGAAATTTTAAACAACCTGTTAATGACCACGTATGTGTACTAAGCTTAAAACGGTTCTCGACTAAACATTTCATTACGCTTACTGACGATCTTTATTTAAAAAGAGAAACAGTAACTACTCTTTTAAGTGGCTAGAAATTTATATGGTAGGTCCATGAGAAGCGAAAATTACTAATTCTCTATTTAGGGCAATCTTCCTACGAACTTAAAGAACATTATTCAATTTCGTAAATATGAACAAAAGTTTAGTTCGTCGACGAATATAATGATATCAAAGGTAAAACCACAGCCGTCTCTACTTACAAGCCATGCTGAAGGTTTACTTGGCAACACTGTGGGAGTCCCAGGATTTCCCAGTTAATGGGAGTTACAACTAATACAATAGTTGTTGTGTTTTTTCGTTGTTCTATAATATTTTAATTTTAGCGGAAATATCGTGCAGTAAATGCGCAATAAGGATGATTATAGTGTGTTATAGTGATTAATACCTTTGGATACAGTTTTTAATTGCAGAAGGCAATATTAACTATTATGTGAAAGAAGTGAAAATGTCAGATTGTGTGTTTTGGTTGTAAATTTTCTGGTTTATTTCTTAACAAAATGCCTCTCGTCGTTGTGTTCCCAGTTGCTATTCAAATTATAAATCATCTTTAAAATGTAAGTACAAGTATGTCTATATTTTTATTCCCAAAAAAATGATGAAATGCGAAAAAAATGCATAAGTACTATACCTCGCAAAGATTGGACTCCATGAAAATATTCTGCAGTTTACATACATCACTTTAACGAAAGTGACATTATAAAAACAGTAAAAAAAAGTATCCACTGCCGGTAATGTTTTGAGTGTGCTTTTAACATATCCTAAATTACCAGAGAATAATGAAACAGGAATTTAAATTGTTGAAGAGTCTCCCTTAAACATAAGTCAGTTTATTGAAATTTTAAATTCCGATTTTTTAATGAATTGTGATTTAGATGACTCCTTAAAAATTTCCATTTCAGGATATGCAGTTCATTCTGCTCGTAAAAAGATAACTTGCAACAATTGTGTTTCGCTCATAATAAACAATAAAGGCTCTTGCGTTGGAGATATTTATTTTGATTATTTACAAAGGGGAGGACTTTCTGTTCCTACTGATAATATTAGTATAGTTTTTTTTTTCACATTTATGCCATTCTTGAAGAAATAAGTAATAACGAAAATCTGCAGACACAATATTTACGGGCTGAACACCAAAAACCAATTTTAGGAAAATTAACTATTTTCAAAAATATTTAGTTTTGGAAAACATTATAAAGATATATTCTTCCAAATTTTATCTTCTTTTGCTAATGTTTTGCTTAATGATTACGTTAAAATTATAAATTATAGAAAGCAAGAGTCCGGCCACTCCAATTCAAATTCAGCTAACTGTAAGACAGCAAAAATCCGTAAATTAGAAATTGTAATTAGTTTTTTCTAATGGGATGGCAGGGCTATTGGTGAACCCCAAAAAAAGCTAACGCGCCTTGGCAATACTTCAATTGTGGTGTGGAAATTTGCTTTAATAAAATTACAATTATCGAGATGAAATTCATGTAGGTACCTAACAATGTTTACACCTAATCTTTTGTCTTTTCTATTTTATTCTTAATACCTACATGTTGAAGTGTATTTTAAATAATGTCACATACTATCAGTGATGTTATTTAGTTAGTTATTTAATAATTCAATTAATTTTTATCGTAATGGGTCTCTCAAAATCATGTGTAACTACGTGTAGTAATAACAACTAAGACTCGCAGAATAGGACTCTCACATCGAAGCAATGCGCTGTTGCCAAATTTCTCAGCATGACTTGTGTTAGAGACGGCTGTGAGTAAAACTGAATGCTCTCTGATTTGTAACTCGTTCCAATTTTTATTTGTTAATTACTCACTAACAACGTATCAGATAGAAAAACCGAACGAAAATATGAGTTAAAATTAATATACTGTATATATTCAGGGAAGAAATAAAACAATAATCGTACGTGATACAACATTTTCAAAATAGGAAAATTCATCTCTTGGTAAATGAAGTAATAAATAATAAAGCACTTGATATCAAGTCACACACTGGAAATGAAGTTATAGATATATGCTACAGCATATTCGACCGATAGTATACATTTTATGCTTATTAACCTCAACTTTTAAAACTAAATCACAAACAGGTGCTTCATTACGTATATGGTAGCCATTCCAGAATATAGGGCTCACTGTAACTTAGCTATGCATTTCCTTAGCTCGGAAATTGTAATACATCAACTATTTATCTGTCGATAAACAGAAGGTGATACAACATCATAAAAACCTAATATCTCTTAATCACCTAATAATCCTATGTCTATACCTTAGAGTTTGTTTGAGTTATTGAGGAGTTAGTTTGCCTGGACGAGGAAGTGAAGTTGCTTCTCTTTCTTTTTGGCTCAAAATAGAAAGAAGTTATGAGTGTGAAAATAGTCTTTGAGCTGAGGATTTTGTGAAGATGTTGATGACGATGATGACGATAACTGACCAAGAATCGAAACAAGACATCGTGGCACCCCTGATCACAAACATATGTAAAACTACTACAAATAAGACGATTGGTACGTATTGGGATGTGTTAGAATCTACCCTATGGGGCACAGTACATAGGTACATTAGGTTTAACATCTTCTGTGTATAAATAAGCAGTCAATAGAACCTCTATCTTTGACGTCACAGATGCAAGTCAGTGATTAGGTTAGGTTAGGTTGTTAAGTTATTTTAGGTTAAAGATGTTTGGGAGGTGTCATAATGTTACGAGACAAATAAAAATTTGGAAGAATGTTCCTCATTCAATTCTAAAACTCCTGTAAAAATTACAAATCGATTCACTAAACCGTTAAAAAGTTATTGAAATTTTAAAAAATTGTAATTTTACACGTCATTTTATGGAGATTCGTTAACTGAACAGATTAAATTTATTTTTATTAACAGAAAAAAAGCTAAGAGAAATTTCAAACTTTTATAATAAGTAACTTGAACTCTGGAGAATCACTTTAGCGTAAGGGTATTCAAATTCACTGAATGGTTATCAACGAAAAAAAAAAAAATTAACTGAAAATATCGTTTTCCTCTCTGACTAGACCTTCATGTCTGAGAAGGTGTCCTATCAACCTATCTCGCCTATTTTTTATTGACTTCCATAGAGTCCTCTGTTCTCCTATTCTTTCTAATGCCTCTTCATTTCTAACCTTTTCTACTCACGTTATCTTCATCATCCGCCTATAACACCACATTTCGAACATTTCTAATCTTTTCTTTTCGCGCCCACTGTCCATGTTTCGCACCCGTACAATGCCGTGCTCCAAACATACACCTTTAACAACCTTTTTCGAATTTCTAAATTAACCGTCCGCGAGCATAGAAGTAACTTCTTTTTATTAAAGGCGACACGACCCTGCCCTTTCCTCTGCTTTATATCCTTACTACTCCTTCCATCCTGACTTATCTGACTTCCTAGATATCTAAAATCCACTTCTTCTAATTTGTTTTTTTTAATATTATGTACTTGGGGAAATTTCAAAATTTCTTTTATTATACTACACTAAACATATTTAAAGTGGTTGTTTTTCTATACTGGTCGTTTCCCCGAGATGATACAATTTCGCACGCGTATCATGAAGGGTTAAAATAATTCCTGGAAAATGTACCTATATCAAAAGTTCAATATTTATGTAATTAATATAATGAATGACTTGATAATTATAAAATTATCCAGGTACGTAAGTATAATATAATAAAATTTTGTAAATGATTCACTCGCTATCAGAAATAACCGAACAAAAGTAAGCACATTATTTAAAATACGCGCATATATAGTATTACATAACCAAATTACACAAAATGGGTATTTATTGTATATATAAATGTATAAATGATCCGTGTTTACGGCTGAATTCGCTCAAGTTTAATTTATTTGCGGTTTCACCGGCAGTCGAACGCCAACCACTTTATTGGTCAATGTGTATAACATGTGATGCGATGTTAAAAGACTACAAGTACATGCATAGAGTAATTTTCAAATTTCGTAACCCTTCCTGACATCATACGCGTTATTGGGTGTATAATAACTTACAACAGATTTGTGTGAAGTAAGTTCACGCGTCCCCACGATTTTTATCAGAATAAACTTGCGTCGAGACGTTCAGTGTGCACCAAATCGGAATCGATGATAAACATAATCAATATAGTTTAAGTGCAATGAAGTGGTCGTTCACCTTAAAATTTAATATCGTATCAGTTTGTGTTCCTTTGGTGGAATACCATTAAAAAAGAGTAAGTTAATTTGTCTATTTCATGAAAATTATTAAATTTATACAAACAAGTACCTACTTGGTGAATATTATACGGTTACGTATGTATATGTTATGAATAATGCAATAATTTAAATCAAAGTTGCACCCAGAAATACTTTCCCAGAAAAATTGCTCTTATAATGTCACGCGAAACGACACGTTCCTTGTCCAATAAAGAATAAACAGTTGTATATGTATATGCTATGTATGAGGTCTGTTCAAAAAGAATCGCGAATTTTGAATTTCCGCGTTATGTTGGTACTCATGTCTCTCACTTATATCGACAATTTCGGTCATGTTGAATGTTCAGTTAATTTTTGACTCGTCTTCGATTTTTTCTTATTCAAAATAATGAATCAAAGAATCTGTATCAAATTTTGTGTGAAAAACAAAATTAAGTGTGCGGACGCGTTCCGAACGTTGACTGTGGCATATGGTGAAGCTACCTTCATGTCAACAGCAGACAAAAAGATTGATGAAGTAAAGAAAATAGTATTGGCCAATCGTCGAATCACCGTTAGAGAAGTTACTAGGGACTTAAACATATCGATTAGCTCATGTCATTCGATTTTGATCAATGATTTTGGCATGAAACGAGTCGTCGCGAAATTGGTACCAAAATTGCTCAATTTCGACTAAAAACAGCATCGCAATAACATTGCTAAGGAGCTGTTGGACTCTGTCTGCGACAACTCAAATTTGCTCCAGATGGTCACAACTGGTAGCGAATCATGGGTTTATGCTTATGAATTGTTTTAATGGCTAAGGACTAAGGGCAAATTAAAGATCTTGCGGAAAAATAAACGTTATACTGTTAATTTTAATTGAAATAGGTGAATGTAAAATTTTCGAGTTAAATATAGTTTTTTAACAATGAAATTCGAAATGGTCAGTATTCTGTCGAAACTGCTAGATGCGGATCGCGATTTCGATTTTTTTGCGCTGTTAAGACAGCAGGTAAAAATTGATCGGTGTTCTGTCGAAACTGTTTGCGACGCGCTGATGAGATCCAAAAAGATCGAAATCGCGATCCGCGTCTGGCAGTTTCACTGACCACTTCGAATTTGTTTGTTCGATTTTGGTAACGTGCCTATCACGTAGTGGTGAGCTACGCCGTGGATTCAGTTCAGCAAGTGGATATCCATCTATTTAAATGGACCTTGTTGAGCATAATGAATTCCACTAAATGTAGCATTGTACTACAGATGGTGTTTACCGCGCCATTTGTGGTATTTTATACAGTTTTTTAGTGGATGTAAACACGATTTGAATGTGATCTATAAATAAAATTGGTGGTTACGCTCTTCGCACGTGTAGTTTTGGTATAAAAATCTTTTATTGTTTGCCATAAAACAGTGTCTTTACTTTGAGAAAAACTAATCCGAGGCAAGTCGTTAATAACACGTAATATAAACAAAGTTTCAATGTTCTTTTATTTAATACCTAAGTGAATCTTACTCCGATCAATAAAATCTTTAGTAGAGAAATACTTTAAAATAACAACATTAAATATGACATTGATTTGTATTAATTATGATTTTAGTGGATGCTAAGAAAACCCATTCCAATGACTTCATCGAGAAATCGATCGGGACTTGGGGAAAATGGCAACTGCTTATTGTCATTGCTGTATTTTTAGTAAAATTCCCAATCGCATTCCATCAACTCAATATAGTTTTTCTTGCTCCATCGGTTTCATTTATGTGCAATGATAATTCCAATAGTACATGTTCTAAAAACTGTTCAGGTTACATTTATGATCGGTGAGTACGAATAGTAGCAGAGATATAAAATTAATAGTTAATGTGATGTACAGGGTGGATGAATACGTATTTACCTTTGAAATGTGGTAATGTAGTTGCAATAAAATTGATTTTAGAATCATTACCATCTGAGTGTAGTGGTCAAAATGCATTGGTCCTCTAGTATTGTAGGTGTATTTTCAAAAAATCTATGCTGCACCCCTTGTATATTTAGATGTATCTCAATTTCATAAATCTTATTTTGTCTTAATCCATAATCGAATAGGATCTTGTCAAACATTTATAAAGTTTTCTACAAATGGCATTCATCCCATCATCTGTAGTTATTAACTGAATACTGTTCAATAGCAGTACGTAAATTAGTCTTAAACTGAACTGTTTGAAGTCGTCAACAAGATAACAGATGAAGATGTGATTGTGATTTAGTGGCAATAAAAGTGTCTATATATTATTACTTCACTTTCAATTTCCTATCATAATTTCAGATCATTATTTTCTGAAACAATAATAACCCAATGGAATCTCGTTTGTGAAAAAAGTCAGCTGGCGAACTTTGCCCAAACTGTTACTATGCTTGGAATACTAATTGGAAACATGGTATTTGGCGTAATATCTGATAAGTAACGACAATTCCTTTTTGCATTATAGTGCAAAGAAAATATTTAATATAATGTTAAATAATGTTTTTACTTTAGGTGGGGTCGAAAAGCTCCGTTGGTATGGGCAGTTGTTATTCAGGTCGCCAGCGGAACTTTATGTGCCCTTGCGCCATGGTTCTGGTTATTTTTGCTTCTAAGGCTGATCTGCGCTACCGCAACAGGAGGAACCATGATAACAAGTTTTGTGATAGTTATGGAAGTCATTGGTATTCACACAGCGATCGATAATAATTACTTGATGATTCTAACTAAATTTAATTAAATCTTCCAGGTTCTAAATACAGAACTACAGTGGGAATCTTATATCAAATACCGTTCAATTTAGGACACGTAACGTTAGCGCTTGTGGGATATTATTTTCGAAATTGGAGACATTTTCAGTTGATTATATCAGTTCCTCCAGCAATTCTCATATTGTACTATTGGATCTTACCTGAATCACCTCGCTGGTTGTTAGCAATGGGAAAAACGAAGGAAGTCGTCCAGGTCCTTGAGAAAGCGGCCAAGTTCAATAACCTTCCTTTAGGTAAGATCAAAGAAAACGTTGAAGAAGCGGCCAGAAATACAACAGTCAGTTCGAAAAAGAAAGCAGGAAACGTATTTCATCTTTTTAAAACTCCAGTTATGAGAAAACGAACTTTGTGCATATCATTCAATTGGATATCATGCGGATTTTGTTTCTACGGTGTTGCTCAATACATGGGTCGATTAGCGGGAAATATATTCATCAACGTTGCCCTATCGGGTGCCGTGCAAATCCCTGGAACAATCTGCACCGTTTGGTTCATTCAAATTTTAGGAAGAAGAAATACTTTGCTCATTGCCGATCTCATTGCCGGTATTTCAATTTTTCTAATTGTCGTTGTACCACCTGATTATTCCTGGGCTACAACTTTGCTGGGTTGTAACAGTATGTTCTGGCTGGTCATGTGTTTCGGAACACTATACGTTTACTCGGGCGAGCTCTTCCCTACAACTCTGCGAAATGCTGGAATAGGATTTGCGTCATTGACTGCAAGATTCGGATCTATGGTCTCACCGTTCATTATGGGATTGTCGTCCACGTCGAAGTGGATACCACCCACGTTGTTTGGCGTCGTACCTTTAATAGGAGCTTGTTTATGTTTTTTTTTACCCGAAACGAAAAATTTGCCGTTGCCGGATACTGTAGCGGAGGCAGAAATACTTGCTAAAGGTCAAAACAAAGGAGGAATTGAAATGACTAACACAACAACCGGATGCTGATTTTATTCTTGTTTTTCTGTGAAAGTGATGTTTACTAATAAATATGTTTTGATACTACATTTATTGTCCGAAGTTCTCTGCCCTATCCAAAGTTGTCAAAACAGTTGATAATAAAATCGAGATAAATTAAATATTCATATACTAAAATCAAATTTCAACATTTCTCAGCTAGCGTCATCAAACAAAACAAACGATTTACTTTATTTACGATATGCTTTATTGCTAATGAAACTAACAAAAACAATTTGAATGATATTACTCTTTTGGTAATAATTGCGTTAATTGTGCACGCCATTGCACCCACAATCCTCATTCATAACAACTTCCGGTCAGTTCCGGAATTACAATTTGATATGCATCTGGACTGTTTTGATCTGTCAATATCGGCACGTCCAAACAATACAATTTATATTTATATTTAACGTATCGATACTTAAACGTTAACCATGAAAAGTCAATTATTTGATATTATTAACCATAAAAGTTCATAAACTCCTGTACCTATACAGAGTGTCACTCAAATGATGTTCCAAACAAGAACTGGTTGCACTGCAGGTCATGAACTATAGGAATTTTATATTTTATGTCAGGTAATAATCCCATGATTTTATTGATATAGACTTGATTCAATAACCTAACATGTATTGTTTATCAATAATTGTCACTGTTCGGAATGAGTTTAAATTGACATAGGACATTTATTTATTCTGTTTTATTAAGCATATGTTTCCAACAAAATAATTCGAAGTGATCTGTGTTCTGTCGAAACTGCCAGACGCGGATCGCGATATCGATCTTCTTGGATCTCATCAGCGCGTCGCAGGCAGCTCCGACAGAACACCTTTACCTGCTGTCTTAACAGCGCGTTTTAGAAAATACCACCAATGGCGTGGTGAACGCCATCTGTAGTACGATGCTACATTTTAGGATTACGTATGCTTCAACAAGGTCCATTTAAAAATATGGATATCTACTTGCTGAAACGAATCCCGGCGTAGCTTACCTCAACGTGGTATTTTCTAAAACGCGGTGTTAAGACAGCAGGTAAAGGTTGGTCTGTGTTCTGTCGGAGCTGCCTACGACGCGCTGATGAGATCCAAGAAGATCGAAATCGCGATCCGCGTCTGGCAGTTTCGACAGAACACAGACCACTTCGAATTATTTTGTTGGATTATGGTAACGTGCCTATCACGTTGAGGTTAGCTACGCCGGGATTCGTTTCAGCAAGTAGATATCCATATTTTTAAATGGACCTTGTTGGTACGTAATCCTAAAATGTAGCATCATACTACAGATGGCGCTCACCACGCCATTTGTGGTATTTTCTATATGTTTCCAATATGAGACACTTAATAGCAATTTATTTCCAAGAATAATTACTGAAATCTCTGAAAACCGGAAAAATATTTACAAAAGCGCACGTTTGATGTGCTTATCAGGTCAACGTTTGTCGAGGTCAAAGGGACAGAGTACGATTTTTTGAAAAAGGTAAATTCAATTTTCTCAAATCCTAAGATACCTCTTGAGAAGCTGTTTAACGTATCTATGTCACTGCATGTCTATTCCAAAACTTAAATTCAAAAAGTAAGTCAAAGGACTTTTGCAACGTCGCATATTATCGATAAACAAGACCCTATCAATATCTAATACTGAAGATGTCAACAGCAGTTGCCGATGGAACGTCTGGCCCAACCGTTCATTTCATCAACTGCTCACGATTCCCGAATTTAATTTACCTTTGGATTCTGTCCATGAAATCTTTGACCTAAATGTGTATTTTAGTATTTGAAAAGGTTGTAATATTTAGTATGTGAACAATTGAGGTTATATTACGTACAAGATTTTCAAAATGCCTATTTATTTCTGTCGGACATTGCATAATAAACCACTTTATAATGGTTTGCTAAATAACAGACTTGTTCACACCAAAAAAACACTAACGTCTGTTTTACCTCTTACGTAATTTTAGGATATCAAATAAAGTCTGTCGAAGCAGATTTTAAAGAGTTCCAATCAACCGAAATGTTCCGTTGGGCCGCATCGTTATGTAATCAAAATTCTCGTAAAAATATTACGTTTAATGTGCAAAGAATAAAGAAAAATGATGGACAGCTATCGAAGCTGAGGTAGCGTTCTATGATGGATTAAATCCTGATTGATTAATTACTGCTTCTCACATTCACTGCCTTTACGTTAGACCGGTATGGCTGTATCAGTATCAGAATGGCACCTGATATCTAAAAATTTATAAATCGTCACAAATATTATTTTAAAAAGAATGCGTATTTTGGAATTACATAATTTTGTGAATACCAAACAAACAATAATCCATCTGATGGCTACTTTAATCCGTGATCTATTTTGATCAACTGTCTTCTTCCTTTAGTGGCTTATACCATTATTCGTTTTGGTATTAATAAGCAGTAATGATGTAACAGACCTCTGCTTTCGCTTTCACAATTGCGGATGTTCCGCATACTTTTCCACATCTGTTTCTACCTCTAGTTCCACATTTTTATTTAAACAGAAGCTTATCGGAACTCGACTAAATCTTATGTCTCATCTTTCTGAAAATCAATGTATCGGAACAATAAAACAATTTATTATTTTTATCCATTGACTGAACCTGACCGTTTTCAAAACAAAATTAAATAGAGTTGCTTGCTGGTATGTTGCATGTTGAATAAGTACTCTTCACCAGCTTTTAGAGCCACCCCCTGACACATTGTGAACGTATTATCAACCGTTTATGTTTATAAAATATTAGCGACAATGTACAGTGTTATAACCGGTCAATGTTTTAATTTAAAGAAAAATGAGCGCCTTTGAATACAATGTAACGTTGTAATATACCGTCCGTGCTTACAGGGGGTATTTCTTTTGCTTTTTAATGGTGGATTTCTCCAGTAGTTTAAGGCCTAAATCTATCTCTTAATATTTCGTATGTTGATATTTTCCAAATTTTATTCTCCTTTTATTGGATCCTTACTTTAATATGTCATTATATGACAAGAAAGTAATCTACACATAATTCTTACGGGACATATTTTTATAATTTTTTTTTAGTGTACTTTCGCTTCCACATCCGCTTCCGTTTCCACTTACATAAAAATTTACTATATACCTTTGTTTTCACGTCTGTTTTCATTATGATACTAAATATGATTACTTTAAAAAAATAGGTGATACAGGCAATCACTTCTTCGTCTGATATCACCGTAGTTTAGAAAAAAGAAAGTTCTTGATCAAGAATTTATCGAAATCAGCGCGCCATAAGTAATCTCGATAAATCACTAACCAAACCAACGAAGCTCCTAACAAATAGCTGGTTTATGTGATATGCAACTACAAGCAGTGTATCGCCATCTAGTGGGTATCTCTATCCTCTAACTCTGATGCATAAGCATGTAGGTCGGTGGAAATACTCAACCGAGCGGCATGGCCTAGAGGTCTAGACCATTGCTTAGCATCCGGGAGGACGCCGGTTCGATTCCGGGTCCGTCTGCCTTGGTCCAAGTTTTTCTGTGGTTTCCTTGGATCACTTTGCTGAGGCAGTAATATTCCATAGATTCGTTTCGTCCGTCTCATCTTTCTCACCCGAACCACCACCCACCCATTCCCACGATTCCCGAAAGCAGGCTGAAAAGGGCCTTCCGCCCTACCTTCCGGCATAGTCCGGAGGGACTGCCCGCCCACCAGCATTACTAGCTGGTGGGAATGAAACATCCAAAAGTTTTTTAGTTTTGGACGCGTGTTTCATCCACGTTAATTTTGACCATTATTAACGTTAATTAGGGATGAATCTCTTTTAGTTTATATAGTTATCATATACTCCTTTATAATTCGTGTGAAATAAACTGTGTTTCCGAAATAAGGTCATCGTCCACATTTATTCAGAAAATATCAGGTTTATTGACGTAGATGCTTTTGGAAAGTTTGGATTTTCCGACATTAATATCACCTACATACTTCATTATTGAGAAATCGTGATGAACACCCCTCCTCACGTACCGCCCTACTTATTTACTCTATTAAACCGAGGTAAACCTACCTTCTTTCAATAAAAGCCTTTTGTGGTCTTTGGGGAGTAATGTAAAACGGAAGAAGAGTGTATTTCGCGATAAGCTCTCCAGAATGGCACTTTGCCTTGTCTTCTTCTTACCATAGACTATCAATCAAAGCAGTGGAAGATTAAAGAGATAAATTCGTCTTTTCGAGAAGGAATAATAGTCATTCGAGGCACGTACAATCCCTTTCAAAAATCAAGGGTCTGAATATAATAGATTGGCAACATGTGTCCCTCATCCTATAAACTCAGTTGGACGACCGCGCATTGTGGAGATTGAAAAAGACAACATCAGAACACTTAGCTGCAATTTTTTTTATCAAACTGTTGCGTGTCTTTTTTTTTGTTGTTCCTTCACAGCTCGCTTTGCAGTTTGTACTTCAGTACAAATACACGTGCTTTTCTTTCAATTTTTCTTCATAGTACCTACTTTGCAAAGGTGAAAAACCTAATCCTAAATATAAAAAAACGGGTAGTTATAAGTATTCAGTTAACTAATAATATTTACGTTTGGTATTGCTATAAAGCAGAGGATAGCGCAGGGTCGATTCGCCTTCAATAAAAAGAAGTTTTTTAAAAAGATTTTAGGTATCTAGCAAGTCAAATAAATCAGGACGGAAGTAGTAGTACAGATAGAGAGAAAGAAGTGACTTCTATGTTCGCGAACGGTTAATTTAGAAATTCGAAAAAGGTTGTTAAAGGTGTATGTTTGGAGCACGACGCTGTATGGGTGCGAAACATGGGGCGCGGCGGAAAAGAAAAGGTTAGAAGCGTTCGATATGTGATGTTACAGGCGAATGATAAAGATACCGTGAATAGAGAAGGTTACAATTTAAGAGGTATTAAAAAGAATAGGAGAACAGAGGATACCTTCTCATTCATGAAGGTCTGATGAGAGACATATTAGAGGCAGAAACGGAAGATAAGAGGGATAGAGGTAGACCTAGATTAGATTACTGTTCGCAAATCGTTAAGGATGTGGGTTGTTCTAGT